GACGAGTGTGACCCGAAGTGAACGAGAGCAGAGTGATGAACGAGTGTGACTGAGAGCGAGTGCGAGTGAACGAGAGCGAGTGAGCTTGAACGATGTGCTGAAGAGAGAGCAGACGAGCTGAAGAGAGCGAACGAGTCTGATACGTAGAGCGAACGAGTGACTGAAAGAGAGCGACGGAGGCTGACGAGACGTGACGAAGAGAGCGAGCGAGTGATGAAAGAAGCGAGCGAGTGACTGAAAGAGACGTCGAGTCTGAGACCGTGTAACTTGAAAGAGAGCGAGCGGTAACTGAGAACGACGGCAGCGACTGAAAGAGAGCGACGACGACTGAAAGAGAGCGAGCGAACACTGAAACGAGAGCGGGCAGGAGAAGACGACCTGACAGAGAGCGACGGCGGCTGAAGAGGACAGCGAGCGAGCGATCTGAAAGAGAGCGCGAGCGACTGAAAGAGAGCAGCGGCGAGCAGAGGGGAGCGACTGAAAGAGAGCGAGCCGGCTACTGAAAGAGACGGGAGCGACCTGAGGTACGTAGCATAAGAGCGAGCGAGCGACTGAAAGAGCGAAGCTGGAGCGACTGAAGAGACGAGCGAGCGACTGAAGAGAGCAGAGCAGCGAAGAGCTGGAGGTGATAAAGGAGAGCATGAGTGCTGAAAGAGAGCGAGTGCAGTGAAAGAGCTGAAAGGCGAGTGAGTGAGGGAGAAGTGAGCGAGGTGATTGAGCGAGAGCGGACGTGAGCGAGATGAGTAGCGGGCGAAGGAGCGGATACGTGAGCGGCGAGGAGGAGTGAGTGCGGCAGCACGAGCGTGACGAGCAGATTGTCGGTCGAGCGACGGATCTGTGAGCGGGCTTGACGGCGACAGCGATGCGAGAAGAGTGAGCGGGGGCGCTAGCGACGAGAATGAGTGAAGGTGGGGAGCGAGAATGACGTGAGCGGCACAGACGAGCAGAGATGGTGAGCGGGCGCGAGGAGCTAAAGATAAGTGAGCGCGATGCGCATGACGCTGAGGCGCAGACATGAGTGAGCGGCGCGAGCGAGCGAGATGAGTCGGCGCGAATGCGGCGAGGGGCCGCGGAGACAGAATGAGTGAGCGGCGCGACGAGCGAGACGGGGCGAGAACGAGATGACGGAGGGGCGCGAGCGAGCGAGATGAGGAGCGGGCCGAGCGGAGAGAAGGCGGCGCAGCGAGGGAGGATGAGAGCGGGCGCAGCCGACGCGAGGATGATGGAAGCCGGGAGCGAAGCGAGAATGAGGGAGCGGGGCGGCGAGCGAGTGAGGGCGCGGGACAGCGATGAGGAGGGATGAGGAGAGATGCGGCGCGAGCGTGCGCTGCGCGGCGAAGACGGTCCAGTGCGGGTGAGCGGAGTCGGGGAGAGAGGTGTGCGGGGAGAGCGATGAGTCGGGGAGAGCGATGTGATGGGGAGAGCGAAGTGAGTGCGGGGAAGGAGTGAGTGCGGGGAGAGAGGCGGAGGCGATATGTGGGCGGTGGGCGGGGAGGCAGTGATTGAGAGGGCGAGCGATAGTGCGCGGAGAGACCGAGAAGAAAGTGATCAGTGCGTGCAGGGGCGAGAGGAGTGAAGCGGGGCGAGAGACGTGTGAGCGCGGGAGCGAGAGAGGGTGAGTGCGGGGAGAGTGAGCGCGCGAGAGAGGATGAGCGGGGAGCGAGAAGAGAGAGTGGAGGCGGGGGAGAGAGAGTGAGCGCGGGTGAGAGAGAAGAGGGTGAGTGAGCGCGGGGCGAAGAGAGTGAAGTGAGCGGGGGGCGAAGAGAGTGGTGAGCGCGGGGGGAGAGAGTGTGAGTGAGCGGGGGGCGTGAGAGTGAGTGAGCGGGGGGCGTGAGAGAGTGAGGCGGGGGCGTGGAGAGAGTGAGCGCGGGGAGAGAGGTGAGAGAGTGAGTGCGGGCGAGAGAGAGTGAGTGCGGGCGAGAGAGAGTGAGTGCGGGCGAGAGAGAGTGTGTATGTGAACGTATGGGAGAGATTAATTAGTTGCATCAACTACGTTGACCAGCTACACTATTTAAAACTTTGAATCGTTTGAATACTGCATAGCATACGTGCGCAAAAGAGTTTATGGAGAGAACACTATACAACAAAGACTTCTCTCGCACTGCCATATTCACAATATTAATATCTGATTTCTATTTCTAGTGGCTAACGCAGATATCAGATTATCGAAGTCAAATCTTCTGTACATAACAAAATTGGTCTTGTCATTACTTGATGGTCATTATATTCAATTGAATGTGATCTCCCTATCCTCCGCGCCTAAAACGCGTGTTTTCACAATACATTAAAAAGGATCCGTCCAATGTAAGTGGCAAACTAAACTCGTGAATTGGTGATAGTTGATGTAAGAAATGTGTCTGAACATGAAACTATGAGACAAAGTAATGTTGGGCATGAAAGAACTTCTGATGAAAATTAATCTCTAGATATAAAATAATATTAATAATTACAGGTTTTCTTCTCATATCATATTCAATGGGAAGAGTGTGCCTAATGAACCAGACAACTGATTGTTGGGTAATTATGAAATGATGAATGGTTTAGAAATTTATACAGGATACATGGTGGTCCTTCTTTGCCTTCAATAACACAGACACAAGGTAAAATCATTGATCTCTTCAAGAGAATTAAATTCCCCAATCTTAGCACAAAATGGTTGGTAGCTTCTGCAGTCATTTGTGAAATTTATGTCAGTGAATACTAGTGATCAATACAATTGTCTCAAATATTTTCTTTCATGTGGATCGCTAATGAATTAGTGCTTCAATTGTAGAGTAACATGTGAGAAGTCATATTTTCTCACTGGTAAAACAAAACAATTATGCATAATTTATATATAATTCAATGTGTGTAAACATGTATGTGTATTTAATGAATATGTGTGATTTTCAATAACGAAAATGGGTGGAATTCACAGCACCTGATTTCGGAATTGGTTCATCACTTATCACACAAAGTTAGTCAATTTACAAAATTGATTCTATTAGTATAAATTTTTATAAAAATGCTGATTATATAAAAATAATTAAAATAATATCTACTTAGCATGCATTTTGCCCTGAGGAAGGTTGCATCACAATGGCTGAAACTTTGGTACCTGCACCTAGAGTATGCTGCCTCCTGGACAGCCAAGTAGATACTGACTTTGGGCCCAGATACCTATGCTTTTATTTACTTAATACATTGCACAAATATAACAATGAATTCAATAATTGACCTGCATTGTAACTTCTGGCTATAATATCTATATATTGTAGCATTAGGCTTTCCAATAGAAGTTTATTGTCCTGTTCAATAAATTCTCTATTCCAATTAATATAAGATGGAATAAAAATATTTTACGATTATAAAACGATAGTTGGAATAAAAAGAGTTAAAGAGAATTTACATTTCCCTAGATCCTATTACATTATTCCAAGCATTATTTATTTGGCAAAGAGCTTAATGCAGACTTAAAGCAAACTGGTTTGACATGTAGAAAGAAATTACTTAGCAAGGCATTCTAAAAGCTGAAAAGTAACACAAAATATAGTTAAGGATCTAATATGGGAAAGTCTGAAAGCAAGGTGAGATTGTGCAACCATCAAAATTTGAAGAAAGAATTGAGTAGCAAGTAAAAGTTTGAGAACAGAGAAGTGTAATCACTGAACTTTCTTTCTTATTTATTTTCAAATGTAATCTCTTCACAATTCTTATTCTTCAAATAACATAAAAGTCCCGATAGACTTATGAGAAAATACTATTTCATGCCTTTCTACATGTAGACTTATGAGAAAATACTATTTCATGCCTTTCTACATGTTAGTAATGTGTGAGAAGTCAGCATTCCAGATCGTGAATTTGGAACCTACAAAATACCACTATATTAACTTAGCACTAACCATACTTAATCAACACTAAATTTACAGGAAGTTATAATGGAAAATAATGCTATATTAGAAAATTAAGCAAACAAAACATAAAATATTACCTGTTTATTGAGTTGTTTGAAAAGATGATCACGCCATGTTACAAGAGCTAACTGGTAGATTTCATAAATCCCTTTTCGGCCTTCCTCACATTCTCGCCGTACCCAATGCCTGAAAGACCAGTCATTATTTAGTTTTGCCCTAGGCAGACAAGGAAAAAGCTCATCAGGGTCACACCTATTCCATAAAGAAAATCAGCATTGCAGAACGATACATTAACCACAGTAGAATGCCATCACGAATTTAACTAGAAAGCTATATTTCAGACTTTTATTCTCACCTGTTTAGGTAAGCGCACACACCATTTAACACTTTAGAGCTAAATTGGTACTCTTCCCACTGCTTTGTGTAAAACTGGAGTACGTCTTCATCCATAAGGTCAATACCATCCTGCACATGAATTATTAAATAAAATTTTTAAGTGAAACTAATTTTATCCCATTAAACAGTAATTAACAGATGTTACCGTAAGTTAAGTTCATAAAAGAAAAGATGTGAAGGGAGACAAATCTTAATAAAGTATTTTCTTTGTGTAGCAATTCACGATTTTATTTCTACCTAACAACAAAGAATGTAATCAAATCAAAGAGGGAATAATTAAATTCATGTTTCATAACTTTCTTTTCTGCTTGTCAGTATGAATGTTATTTGTTGTGAAACTGCTGTAATATAAACTACTCACTTTGAGAAGACTGATAAGGTAATTTCTTAGGAACTCTCGAAGTCTTTTGTAGAGCTCCAGGCCAACCAATTGGGCTCCTCCAGACACATGTCCCTTCTTCAGTTTGGTGCTGGCTGACCGATTGCCCTGCTGGTGCACACTGGTGCAGTAATTATAAACATGACTGTTTTAATTAAGGAATAAAAACCAACATTTGGTTAAATACTAAAATTTTATTTATTAGCATAAATGCTCTTAGACTATTTCTGAGTTATTTGGTTTAAATTGTTTTGGCTTTCTATCTTTGTGAACGAGTTTTCCTAATCAATGTTACAATATGTGCTGAATAAAATTTCAATTGAACACATTACAAAATCAGAATATCATTTAGCAGGGGTAATTTGTGGTACAATTTGTAAATTAGTTAAGCATACAGATATAATATACATATGTGACACTGATTTAGAACCCCAAAGGGTGAAAATAGATTTAAGAATAAGTATATAAGAAAAGAAGGGATATGGGCTCAAAAACCACCTGATAGATAGGCAGACCGGAAGTTAACACTCAATGTGGCTGAACCTGGACTAGGAAGTCTCATTTGGGAATGAGGGGGGGTGCGTGTCTGTAGGCAAAGAAATGTGCAAAGATATGAGACAGGAATTCATACTACATAGTTTAAGAGATATTTAACATTTAGATAATCACAAAATCATTTAATAGAAGTATATTATTACCTTGTAAAAATTAACAAGAAATAGTTTTGAACAACTATTATGTGCAATAAAACTTTCTAAGAAATAATACATTTCTGTACAGTTAAAACTGGATAGGTGGGACCTGCATATGTGAAAAACCATTATTAGAGAGATTAATTACGAACTCTTATCATTTTTATATGAAAAAACTGTGAGAATATAATGTCCGTTTAACTGAGATTGCATTTCCATCCAGATTTTCCTATGCATTTGCCACTAGAGGATTTGACATTCTTGGGTTTCACTGTAAGGGAGCATTTTCTGGAATTGAGGGTATTTCTACATGCTCTTCAATTCTTTTTAAAATGTACTAAACAAAAATTTGGTTGAAGTATTGAAGGTAGAACACGCATGAATAATTTCAATCTTTGTACCAGAAATTCTGAAGTAAAATTTCAATGCAAGCAAGTGAAAAAAATAAACAGTACTGTGAGTATATGACAAAGATACACGAAGAACATTGTAAAGATTTTGAAGAACCAAAACCAACTCTTTATTTTAACTTTTTTACTTGTTTACATGGAGTAATTAGATGCAATAAAAAAGTGAAATACAATGTTGTTTGTAAATTAAGTTTTTGTAAAATATTGTGTTTATGTTTAACATTCACCTTTGCAAATGCAACAATGCGATTCAAATCTACAAAAGTGAATTTCTTTGTCACCTAAATACTTTTTAAACTCACATATGTGAGTAACTGGAAATACAAGCAACCTCAGGTGAGAATAAAATTTGTTTCTAGAAATCCCACTTAACCAGGTAAAAGACGAGCTAAAAGAGTAGGGGGAAGACTTTTAAGAGCAGTTTTTCATTTTGTGAATGTCAAGAGAAAAGTCTGAAGAGTAGCTTAATTTGTTAAGTTGAAAATTTTGATGAAAACTACTAAGTGGAGGAGATCTAATTGAAACATTCTCCAGTAGTTAACAAAAATGAAATATCAAGGTAGGTATTTCACTTTTTTTTCTTTCCATTTTTACGTTTCTGTTAAAAACTATTAAGTAAGCGACATCTGAATTAATTTTACAGATTCGGAAAACAATATTAGCCGAAAACTGTGGCCATCTGCTCTCGGTGAAAGACCTTGGAGGTTGGTAGTCCTCGTCAGTAGCAGAAATATATTGAACAATCGAACAAATAAGAATTTCGCCTAACAATGTCCATCAATTGAGGATCATAAGACAGACTGGAAATCACAATCATTGCATTAAACGTTTGCCAACCAGTTGGATAACGAGGATGTAGACCAGGAGTCAACACATTTATGGATTAGGAAAGGAAACTTATTTGGCGAGACATTCGTTAGATACGTTGGGAGAGCATTAGCGGAAACTGCAACGAATCGCCTTTTCTGTCGAAAATTTTCTTCAGACGAGAGTGTTCTGGAAAAGGAACAATACATAATTGACAAAGATTGTTTCTTTGCAGAAAGCAACCATGGGCATTGAAGAGATTGTCATAGTTATCTGTCCAGATGAAATTAAAAGTTTTCGTTACGAATTTCGTCGTTTTTACTGCACGTTAGACTACAGAAAGGTGCTGGGAATTGCTTTCAGCGCTCCGAATCGAACTCTGAATGCGCCCAACACATTTTCCGTAGCTTCTGTGCACGACAAACTGATCGCGGCGCCTCTGATGACAAGCGAGTTCGCTGCGTCTAAATTGGAAAGAGTTGGATTCCGAGAAGTCTGACAATTGCACATATTTTACACGCGGCTGCCCAGGAACTGCTGCGATCTTTTGGTGACGCTTCGAACTAACAGGAAGCAGTTGAAAATCTATGTCAACGAACATTGTACGAAAGAAATGAGTATTTGGTCAACTGGGAAGAAATTCGCGCGGATTTTTGAGTAATCTCCTGACCGGGAAGTTTGAAATGTATAATCTTTCCTTCTGAAATGCCTTCAAAGAGCAGCGAAACTGCGCTGTTCGAAACGTGGCGCCAAATTTGAATCAATTTTTTTAAATCAATTGGAAACAACGGGGTTCATGATGGCTATTCAAGACAGGGTTATAGCAACAAGAAACTACTGCAGTGAATCTGATAGATTCCTGCATGACGCGACTTCATCACGCCAATTAGGGCCTCTGCACACAAACGGGCGTACCTGATTCGACACGCCCATGTGCACCCACCAAAATTCCCCTTGCTCCTCACAAAGACGCGTCCCACGGGGCCTGTCCAAGCGCCGCCCGTCGAAGGCAGAAGAACACCTCCCCGACCACCCCGTCACCCATTTGTTCGCGAGGGCGGCAAAATAAACCGAGACATTCAAATTAGCCGAAGTCGCAACTATGGGCATACTAATCCCAAAGGGCGTACAATAAAACATGTAGGCGGGCTACAGCTGACACCGACATCGCGCAGGCACCCCGCGCCCACAGTGCACAAAAGGCCACGAATTAAAATACACAGAAAAGCAGGTCGCCAAAAGCAGGAATTGCCTCGGCCAATTAGCGAGAAGAGCTGATAGAATGTTCGAGCGCGTCGCAAGACCCAATCAGAGACAATGCACTAAGCGTGTGACAGAATTCGGAAGTAAGAGTAATAGGTGGGGATAGAGGAGCGAAGTAGGCAGAAAGTTGAAAGAATTTCACTAGTTATCTTCGGCCAGAAGAAGGCACTTTCACTTCAAATTTCGTCTCGAACGAGGGCGTTAAAATATTTTTACTTGAACGAGACACTTGTCAACATGAGGCCAGAATGAAAACTCGGCTGCGGGCAATTAGGAAGTTACATGGCGGAATAAACATTCACCGGCGTACGACTGGCCGACATCCGCCTCCCTGCTCTGGAGCAGCCTACGAGAGCCCTGGGTCCTCGCTGAATATGGGACAACTTCGACGGCGCGTCTGCGCAGTGGCTATCTCAGCGAGTGCCTTGACATGCCCGCTACCACAAGGTGCTAGCTCAGTCCGCTGACACATCCGTTAGCACAAATTTGTAGAAATACGTGTGACATTGAACGAAGGAAGTGCGAGATATCTCTCCGCTAAAAAGAGCTCTCACCTCTTCCAATATAATTGTTCTTCGCTTGCACGCGAACGCATTGCTGTGCAACGTGGCATTCATAAGAATTGTTAATTTAATATTATAAGCACATTCTCTTATATTTTGAAGTGATTACAAATCCATTTCGAATTAATGAAAACCAAAATGCATTTTGTAAACATATGTAGTTGGCTACTTTTTTTTAATGCGTTTTGAAAAACCGTAGTTAGAACATTCGTGTTTCTGTCAAGTGTGAAGAAAAAATTGCTGAAAAGAAACAGCGTTTAATTGACTTCGAGTTTCCTCACACACTGCATATATTAAATAATCTAGATTGTTTTGAGTATTCGGTAACTTGTACTTTTAGCCTAAATTATATTTAGTGAGCTTGTGGAAAATAGTCTACAGCGTAGCGAAATTTGTGTAGTCAGACGGTAGAGCAGGCCTCATGGCCTGAGTCTCGCCACGTAAAATAAGGCATCAATTCAATTCAAAAGTGTGAATTAAAAGTTTTGAATCAACGTGTACAATAGAACTTTTAACACTCCGGGAAAACGGTTCTGGAACGTGCTGAGTAAATATGCGGTAATACCGACCTCTATAAGTAAATATTTTGGAAGGGTCCTTGCCGTGCGAAGTCGAAGCAGGTGTGAAAAGAAATGCGGGCTACCCTCACTGCTGATGAAGGACATCGTTCAGCATTCTATCATACTTCATAAGATGCTGTATTTAATTGTCATGATTTATGTTAATGAAATATATTATATATATGAGGGGGACCAAGGGGAAGAGATGAGAGACGTTGCACACCCTAATGGCATGACCACAAGCCGCCACTGCATATAATGTACTTCACTAAGGGGAATGTGAACTTCAATTATTCCTCTCGAGTGGATACAGCTAAATTTTTCTAGGGTGGCTGCTGGGATTCGCGAGTAGAGGGGGAAGCTGAAAGTGGTGAAGAGGAAGTAGGGAGGCGAAGCTAGCTCGTATCTGACCGTACCAAAAACATTAGCCTACCGCACTGCACGTGCTAGTGAACTTACTTGGAAATTAATTTACTTTAGTGTCTCTGTTGTAGAATAACACCTAATTCACCTGATGGCCTGGCTCTGCTCTCATCATCTACATATTTTACACTGACACTGATTCCCGTTTCCTCGCCATCAAAACCTGCAGTGTCAGTGTCATTACTATCGTTTGCGCTATTCCCGTTTAAAGAACGATTTCTTTATATGGTGCATTAAATCACTGTGCCGCGAATCACTCATTGAAACCGACGAGAGCAAATTCCACGGTCTCCCTCGTCCTCTCTTAATTCGGAGTAAAAAATGAATACGATTCTCCCAATTCAATAGAATTCATTTCCTTGTTAATTCTGCAAATAGACCTTTTCGAAACACCCTTAGCAGCAGCCAAGAACTGATTTGACATTTTTAAAACTGTTTGTTTCTATCTTTATAAATTGATATACTTTTGCAACGAATTCATGCGCCTGACTGACGGACATCCTTACGCAACTTGCCCTGAATCGGACGCATTGCAATAATCACCAACATAACAATAACCACTTAAACAGAACTTCACGCATTACGTACGCTACACTCCAGTAGGACACGCAACTGCAAGCTTGCACCTCACGCATACGAAAATTCAGGGTCAATGTTTACACAACTGGAGTAGGGCTGTCAACACGTGTTGGGAAGGTATGCGCACCCCCCCCCCCTAAATTCATAAGTTTGAGGAATGGATTCTTCCGGCAGCTTTGAACCCCGGATTTTCAACGGCCACGCCAAAATACTACTACTGCAGATTACATTACGTTTGCACAAAATATCTTTTCATCCCAAGCATGCTTCTCTTGAATTTTATCAAGAGATAGAGGAAATTAAATATTGTTAATTTTAATTGCATGTTACAGCACATTTTCCATAATATTTAGGTAATAAATGCACATTTTTAAATCATATTTGAAGTTTTTTAGGACATCTAAATCCACCCGTATTGATTACATTGATTTCCTTAAGGTTGGGCGCACTAGGCCGGCACGGAGGGACGGGATGATCCGCACCTTCCGTCGTTTGCAAGAAGTCCGAAGGAAAGATCTTCCGTCGCGCTGAGGACGTTATCGGCACGGTTGGAACGGCCTTTACACCATTTCAGTTGTGAGATTATTCGAAGTGTGTGGCGCGATCATGAACGCGTCCAATTTAATTATGTTGATCCAGATTTATCCCAAGTTGCACAGCGTGATATTAAATTTTATTCCATGTATTTATCACTGTGATGTCACCAACTATGCTATAAAAAGTAATTGGTTATCTAAACGATCTGAGGGCCGGTTTCATCAACAGTCGAGTAATGTTGAGAATAGTTACCCGAGAGAAAGCAGTTACTCTGAGATAGTAACTCTCGAGTAGAATATAAGCGTTTCATCATGCTTCTAGAGGGTATCTATGTACTCTAGAGTACATACTCTCCGATTTTCTTCGCGAATCAGCTGAATGCTCAATATTTGAGAGCGATTTAAGAGGCTGAGCGAGAGTGACGATGAAAACCACTGCAGACCAACGCGAACCTCTGATTAATTCCTTATACTGTAGAATTCATTTCAGTTTCAGAGTTCGTTATAGTGATTTGAGTTAGCATAGTTAGTTTTTGTATAGTTATTTCTTAACAAATATGCATTCTTCTCTGAAGATGAGTTACTATTTTGTTAGCAATGCAGAAAAATCAAATTTGCAGTCCGTTTCCCGATAGCGGTGCAAATGAAGTTTCTATAACTCGGGAACGAAAATGTTTAGTTTTTCTAAATATTATTATTATTATTATTATTATTATTATTATTATTATTATTATTATTACTATTATTACATTATTATTAATTGTTTTATTTCTTCAACTTTTATTCACCTTTCAACTATATATGTAGTTAAAATGTTGGAAAGGAATTCTGGAACTCAAGAAAACGTGCGCAAATGATCTTCCCCATACGTCACACAGTTAAGTACTTGTAGTCCCAATAGTTATTATTTTTCCTTTTGATATCGTATACGTTATTACCTTTATTTTGTATCCACATGGGTGAAAAAGACATTTACAAGTTCTCTACAGTTTACAATGTATTTGACGAAGTTAACAGCTGGAATGGTCAAACATCCTCATGACAAAATCTCGATCGTCATAATTAAAGCCAATCCATGCTCTCCCGCACTAGTGGATAATATTCCGAATCATTGCTGGAATCGTCTTCAAATACTATCATTCGTAATCGTCGAGCCATAACACTTCGGAGGTACACGCACGTGAGCTTACTCCGCATTTTACCCGACGGATTTTCGCAGAGTAAAGTTACTCTGGAATTTACTCCCGTGTAAGCGATTTACACTCGAGTAAAGTGTTGGTGAAACGCTCCAATAAGGTACTCTCAAGTAAACATGATTTACTCCAGAGTAAACTCTTATTCCTTGTTTGGTGAAACCGGCTCTTAATCTTCTTAAATAAATTCGAATTATATAGAGCTACACATTTTTTAAGAAGAGTATTGGAATTTTGCTACAAATTACCATGTTTCGAAACAAATTTTACTCAAATTTTGACACAAATTTACATCAGATTTAATTTAAGTCGAGCCTGCTTTACTAATGTACTGAGCCAAATGTTCACGTTCAAACTATCTGGGCAGAAATTATATTAGCTCGAATTTGAGATTTAGACATAGAAATCAGGTTTAGTACATACTTGTTTAGTAGTATTACTTTCTCTTGTTGATAAAAATATTCTTTTTACTGACAGTGATGCTACTAGGACTTCAAACGATATTAAAAGAAAAAATACTCCAAGATTCACAATTTTTTCAATAACATTAAAAATAATAGGAGGTAAAATTCTGAAACCTGAAAAAATGTTTGGAAAGAATATGCATACTACCACAAAATTATTTAAAAACAGTGCTTCTACAAAAAAATTTCTTGAACCTCAGAAAAATCTCATAACTGCTAAAAAAAATTATTAACAGTATCCCGGAAATAATTATTTTCACTTCAATAAAAATTGAAGTTTTGTTTCTTATTTCATATATATATTTCATTGACATTGTTTTATCCTTTAAGAGTTTTAGAATTTCAAATTATATAATTTCTGCAGCAACATTAGACTTTAGCACAAAACATTTTGACTAGAAAACACTAACGGTAGATATATTTTTTTCAATTAATCAATTTTTAGTTATGGCCTACTTCCATCTTTATTACAGCAATTGTAATAAATTACATTTCTATCCGTCCTCCAGGCAATCGTTGTTTCTAATCCTTTATTTGAGAATTGTTGCACACGAAGCCTTTTTATACTTATTTCACAATTAAAAAACTTTGTGTTAATCTTTTGTTCCACACAAGCAGTCTGCAAGTCTGTTCTTTATTATTTTACTCTCCCATTGTCAGTTATCAACGGATATTGAGTTTTGGTTTCGCCCATCTTACGTATCCTTTGTGAGGTATCATATGGTGTGGATAATTCATTTCGCGATCATTGTTCCCCCATGTGTACTTGCGTCGCAAATCCAATACCAGAAGGTTAAAATGTGTAGTATTGTTATATTACTGTTGCTTATTGTTATAAGCTCCAAAGACACCTGCATATCAATTTACTATTTATACAAAATATGTGACAGTTTTGATATTCACAAATTATGCAAAGAAATAATAAGAAAGTACTTAATGTGCTTGATAAAAGTTTAATATGCAGTATTAATTTAAAAACAGTCAATCATACATTATGCATCAATTTCTCCAAAAGAAACTACCAAAACATTCAAACATGCATGGAAATAGTCTGCATTTTTTAAACAAGTTTTTCATATAACCTATATTTACAAAATTTGAAATCTCTACGAAGCTTAAATAAAAACACTCAAAAGCCAAATACACTTGGAAAGGGGAAAAAAATATGATTTTGCCAATAATTTCTGTTGCCTTTTAATGTATTTATTTATTTTTGTTGCCTTTTTGAAATGCCCTCATCTTAGCTGCTTCAAAACTATATGGCAATATTCCTGTACATATAAAAGCACTGAATATGCAAGTTATTGGGTGTATAAAGGCAGACACCAAACTTGAAATACATAATTAAAAAATTTATCTACACAGTCAAATTCTAATTATATAATTTACCACTTTTCTAAGGATTTACTTGGAAGAAGTTTCGGAAACAAATATCTTATCTTAAAAATTTTTGAGTAATGTCTGACAATGTTGAATATTCTACCTTTAAACTCTATGCAGAAGAACCACAATTATCAAAGAGTGTTTTATGCAAGTCAGTTGGATTATTCTGTCATCTTTAAATGCAACATTCTCTACAACTTCATTTTAGGTCTTGTTTTTCAATGTGATGGTTGCTGATTGGTGCGAAATAAACCACCTAAAGGTAAATGATTTTAATTGTAGTATATTATTATCACAAACAAAATGTATCTTATTAATTTCAGTTTGCACTTAAGAGATCACATTTATTTTCAGGAAACTGTCAACAAATAAATTATTATGATTCCATCTGAATGCTGAGTGGTCTATAATTCTGCTTGACATGGTTTAGTTCAATATTTATGAATATTCTATTTCACCTGGTTGTAGTTATCTTACTATATTTGACACAGTTCTGTTTTTCGCACTCAAAATATCTTTCTTGTTTTTCATGATTTTTGCTTGTGCTATGTGCTCATTTTGAAATTTGGGGAATTCTATCATCTGCAAGCAACACAATACTATTTCTAATAAACAATATTCTTCACTTGCTTTAGAAGGAGCTCTTTTTTTATATTTTGGTGAGTATATAGGTATAGTTGCACAATTTTCTAATTAATCAACAATTAAAGTGATATTTAAAAAATAGATCACTGGTATTACCAACATAGAAGTGCTTTTACACTCGCATAATGAGACTATTATCAAGGATACGTATATAATTCCATGTATCGCTGCCTGGACATCCCTTGTCGATTGTACACTTGCTCAATACCTTGCTTTAAGTCACCCCATATTTGGTCAAGGTCAATTTGCTTCAAGCCCGGTGGGTTGTTTTGATTCCTGTGGCCAGACATGATGGACTGTGATGTGGTGCAATCAAGGCAGCAGGCCTTCCCTCGAAATCCTGTCACAGAAATAAAATAAGCGCTCAGAAAATGTGAAAACCCAAGTAAAAGATTCTCCAGCTTTAAAAAGACTGCAAAGCAACATTAATTTCAGAACTTTTGGATTGCACTGGTGTAAAATATTTCAGAAGGGTGAGAGAAGATGGACAATTGGAATGTAATGAATATACAAACTGCACGAATGAATTTTATTAGCTAGCAGTGGCCGACATGGAAAGCACATTTAGGAGAAATAATGAACTTACCATTTACCTCAACAAGAAATTCTCTACAGTTTTGGTGAAACATAGATATTACCCTCTTGACATTATTTAATTTACAAAAATTAAATGTATTTACACCATTTTTAACTGATCAATTAAAACACTTTTTTAAAAGTGTTCCCAACCACTCAAAACTACTATTAATATGATATTCAAATTGTCCATGATATCACACATCAAGAAGAAAAATAACTTTTATGATTTCACAAAAATACAATGTAATATCCAAAGAAGTAAATAAAAACAAAAAGAAAATTAGTTTGATAAAGTGAAAAATGTTTGTTTTCAGTAGATATAAATTCTCTGAGGAATTCCAATATACATGTCACCCATACACACTTCACAAACAGCATGGCAACTCTCTCCTTGCCTCCTAAATTAGTTGAAGCACCCTTTCACACAGAAGGCAAACTTGAAGGAGGATAATCATGTGAAGAGCACAGAGTTCCCCCTCAGTGGAATGGAGTGGAGTAGGAGTGGAGCAGAAAGTCAATGTTTCAAGAAAAGATGTTCCGAAACTAATCACACTTCACATAAACACAATTGTCCAATTAAAATTTCAGTCTACTCAACAATGGGGGTGGGAGAAAGTGTTGTTGCCTTTTACTCAGGTGCAGACACAGGGTCTTTCCTGCATCAGATCAGCTATTGTGGCATGCAGATCCCACTTATTGTAGCAAAACAATGAATTGTAATAACAAAACTTGTTTATTTCAGTAAATACTGTTACACAAATTTACCAGTCTTCCTTACACTCGTGTTATGCTAATCATGTCAATGAAAGGAATAACAAAACATTTTTGCACATTTTGTTTATTTGTGTTTCTTTAATACAGGCGATCGCCCGAAATACAATTACTGTACATAAATGTTAATGTGGTTACAATACTGAGGTCATATATAATATAAAATTAGGCATCATGTAAAATCATTTAACAATAATTATTTCAGAGTGACTTGATAATTATAGTTTGTTGACAAAAACATTTTCATTGTAATAGCCAATCTACTCATTTTCCACAAAGGGGTCATAAGTTGAATAATAATAGTTAAAATAATAGTTACAAGTTGAATTAGCTAGAAGCCCAAGAAATCAATTTTTATTTTTGCTTCTCAAATCACAATGTGGTATATTCCAAGTTATTTTGGACAATAAATAATAACAGTCTCTATCAAATGACAAGAGTTAAAAAAAATATCAATACAACATAGAAGGACCTGTGAGATTCGAGAGAGCTAATACATAATAGTTGGACCAACTACATATGATCATGAGATATTCTTGGAGACAGAAATTTGAATCAGTAGGCAATAAATAACAATAATTTATGCTGCATAGTTTTTAAATTGCAAGTACGTATAGCACTAGAAGGGAACCATACTGGTGAGGTATATAACAGAATTTGTCTAATAAGTGATAAGTTTGAAGTTTTAAATGCGGAAATATTGATAAAATCTGTAGAGATTCTCTTAACAAACCCTTGCAAGGATTATTTTTTTATAATACAAAAAATATTTATAAATAAACATATTATATTCAATATGAACAGTAAATTTCAATTTGCAATTGAAAATTACCCCCAGATCCTTGAATTACTTCACACTTTCCTGTAGAACTTCATTAACTGTATAAGGATATAATATGGAAAACTTAAGATCTCTAAACTCTCATGATTTTACACTTTGTTATATTTTTTTAGAAGTTGATAAAGAGTGCACCAATAAGAAATTATCCAGTGTGGTTTGCAATTATAAAAAATCATTTATTGATGAGATTCCCAAAAATATCTTCACGTCATCAGCGTAAAGCAAAAATTATTCTGATGGGAGAATAGTTTTTGGATCATTGACGTAAATAAAGAGCAACAGCAGTCTGAGATGAGAACCCTGAGGCACTCCAGTGCCTGGATTAATATCTTTAGAGATTTAATTTTTATATTAAACATTTAGAATTCTATTACTCCGATATGATTGCAGTAACCAAGTACAGGACCACGAAAACCAATATTTTATGTTTAATTACTTTGGGAGAATATTATGGTTTAGTGAATCAAAAGCCTTAACTAAGTCTGTATACACTGTGTCTACTTGGAACATGAACAAAAGTACAATAGTGAAACATCGAAGTAGCTGTTAAGGCCATTTCACAATGCAAACAAACAAATGCATGGCGTTTACATAAGTTAAGACTACGTCATTAGCGGATTCGTTCACGTGTTCGCATAAGCATAACACGTAAGACGTTTACTTGCTTGCAAGCTTCTGTATTTTGCTTAAGTAAAGCATAAGAAATGAACAAATCACAATACGTTAACTCAAAATCAAGAATAGAAATAGGATCGAAGTCGATAGAACTAACGCCATTTGGGCTACGGGCCCAGTCGATACCTCAAAATCGATTCTCACATCCACCCAATAATAAACTAGAACGTCTCACAGTCAATTAGAAACATGTTTACGTTTATGTTAGACAATGTGAATACTTAAGTATTTCACTTATGTTAATGTTTACGTTTGCATTGTGAATATGCATTTACTTCCATTTCCGGACATTATTTTGTGGAACTGATTGAGTTTCCGTAAGACACATACAAAAATTCCCTTGTTTAAGCGGCCACTTGTCAACGCAACCGGCGGTCAGGTACATTTTGTAAACTGACCTCCATTAAGCGGACCCCAAGCAATGTTGAACTCCTGTAAATTAAGAAGTGGAAGAGATATAGACTGATTAGTTATTCCGGGTACGTAAACGGCAACTTAGTAACGTAAGTGTAGTGCATGTTTTTTTGTGGAAGGTGGTAGTGATCTTCCCCCACTGGCTGGCGAGATCCAGCGCCAACCTACGTCACCTTGCGGAGGTTTTCCTCAACCAGGTACCTTCCACCAGCGGGACACGCCCCTGCTGGGCATGTGTGTAAGGTGTGAAAAAAAGGGCACGAGGAGGAAATATGCGCGCAGTCCGTGACCCGTTTGTTAAGATACTACTCTGGCATTCACCTGATATTGATCAAACTACAGAAAACTACCAATCAGAGCAGCTAGCCGTTTTAATTCTCCTCCAGACACCAGCTGAATTCGACCTGCTGACAACCTATTCTTGAAAATCCTGTCTCCATCGGGACTCAAAGCCTACGTCCTGCTGGTTTGAGATACTGCAGTGATATCAGATGGGCCACTTTTGCTGGTAAGATGTAGAGATTAGAATGATTAAGTATCTTCTCACAACGGGTAGCAGTGTCATGTTACTAAGAACAGTGATATCTAAAGTCAATTAACTGGCAGGAGGATTAAATAGTTTCAAGTTACAAATATGATTATAATAGTAATGTCTCCATGAAATAGCATGCGTTTGTTTTGATTATTGTGTAGTATAAAGTTGTTTCTAACCGGTTTCTATGAGAGCTTGCCAATGGTCTGCGGAGCAAACCGCATGCGCAGAAACGTAACAAAATGAGTGCGGGCCGGCCGGGAAAACTTTTTTCCGGGCCTCATTAATTACATTGTGTAGCAAACAGTGTTAGTACCTTAAATAATAAAAAAAATCTCGAAAATAGGTCCTTTTAACCCGGGCCCGCACGTTACGCCACTGCGCATGCGTGAATTCGATCTGAAGGTCATTGTCATTGTTGGGAACTTCAGGGGGACTGTCCTTATCACAGAATGTTAACTGCATTTGGAAAACAAGTTTGATTGTGAGCGCAGTTCAGTGAGGACGAGAAGAGAGGTTTTTTCGTCGAGGTTTTTTGTCAAGGGTTATTGACACCCTCAGAGAGGTAAGTGGTCTTAGGGAGAGAAAAAAACAAAAAAAAAGCGATTTCTGAAGAGAACTAGCTGATATTTTCAATGGAAAGACACACATCAATGTAATCATAAACGCACGTGTTTAGAAAGTTTACATACCTGTGCAGCTAAAAAGAAACAACTTACAAGACTTTTTTTATTGCCTTTTACAATGTTTGAATGGGGGTGCCCTATCAAATACATTGGCACGAAGATAAGTCAGAAATATTCTAAAGGTAGATGTGCAGACATTACGTCATAAGCATAAGCAATTTTGTCACAGCATAAGGGGCGGATGTTAATGAAATTTATTATTTTTTCTCTTTCTTTTCACTTTATAACAATGCCGTTTAGTATAGAAATCCATTTTATTTTATGACAAAAGGAAATGACTAATTTTTGTTGCATTTTTCGTCGATTTCGACTATTACTCGCGCAACTTTTCTTGAACGATGACCTTGATCCCCCTCCCTTGTGCAATAAACAGTTGAAGGCAAAAGCTCGCAGCGGGCACTGATGACAACCTTCCAAGCATTAAAACTTCGTTGGCGCGAAACAGAAGCTAGTCAATGCCAGTTGCTTTCATAGTGCAGAACCCCTGTTCAGATTTATTGTCAATATCAAAAGAAATAGCTGAGTCAGGTCCAGGTCCTTCAAGGGAGTCAACTAAAACTCCCGAAAAAGTTAAGCACAAGATGCAGTTTTGACTTTCATTTCACAGACGTTGGCATTACTTAAAATGCTCTAGTGGCTGACTTTGTAACTAATACCCCCACTCCACCCGAAATCGTCAATCCATCGTTCAAGAAAAGTTGCCCGAGTAATAATAGGTCATTTGTTTTGTACCTTTTTACGTTATTTTTAATGCTTTTTTTGCTGTTTTCATCGATTTTAATGGTTTTTGCTTCAAACAATATTTACGAGATGCAGCAAATGTTCACAACAGAATTCCTGAG